TTTGCATGTAGCTGTCCAGATGTCCCAACACCATTTGTTCATATCAATAGATATAGAAAAACATTTGATAAGGTACAGCACCCATTTATGATAAAAACATTCAGCAAAGTGGGAGTAGAGGGAGCATTCCTCAACATGATAAAGGCCATATATGAAAAAGCTACAGCCAGCATTATACTCAATGGGCAAAAACTAAAAGATTTCCCACTAAGATCAGGAACAAGACATGGATGTCTGCTTTTACCACTTCTATTCAACATAGTATTGGAAGTCCTGGCCACAGCAATCAGACAAGAAAAAGAAATAAAAGGCATCCAAATTGGAAAGAAGGATGTAAAACTGTCACTGTTTGCAGATTACATGATAGTGTACATAGAAAATCCTACAGACTCCACCCAAAAACTGCTTGACCTAATAAACAAATTTGGCTAAACAGCAGGGTTCAAAGTCAATATTCAGAAATCAAAGGCACTTTTATACACCAACAATGAAAGATCAGAATCAGAAATCAAGAAAAAAAAATCCCATTTGCCATAGCAATAAGAAAAATAAAGTACCTAGGAATAAACCTTAACAAAGAGGTGAAAGACCTGTACTCAGAAAAGTACACAACACTGAAGAAAGAAATTAAGGAAGACACAAATAAATGGAAGCATATACTGTGTTCATGGATTGCAAGAATCAACACCATCAAAATGTCCATACAACCCAAAGCAATTTATAGATTCAACGCAATCCCTATTAAATAACCAATGACATATTTCACAGATATAGAACAAATATTTCAAAAATTTATATGGAACCATAAACAACCCCAAATAGCCGCAGCAATTTTGAGAAAGAAGAGCAAAGTAGGAGGGATCACAATGCCTGATATCACACTGTATTACAAGGCCACTGTAATCAAAACAGTATGACACTGGCATAAGAACAGACACGTGGACCGTGGAACAGAATAGACAGCCCAGAAATAAACCCAAGTCTTTATGGTCAATTAACATTTGACAAAGGGAATAGAAGCATAAAATGGAGTAAAAATAGCCTCTTGAACTTTTTAAAAAATTTATTTAATCTTTATTGTAATTTTTTTCCTTTACCATGTAGTTCTCTTATACTCTCTCTCCCCAGCAATCAGCACACTGTTGTCCATGTCCATGAGTCCTTTTCCTTTTTGCTCAATCTTTCTTGTACCTGTGTTTCCAAGGTTCTGTCCCTCCTTCCTTCTGCCATCTAAGGTGACAGCTTTCCTTCATTTTCAGGTTCCCAGTCCTTCTTTTATCAACAGTTTCAGATGTTCATTCAGGGGGAGATGACTGCATGTTGCAAATGCTATGCCTTGTCTCATTCACCCTGAGCATTCTGGTATGCCTGCAGTCTCAGCACTGCCCATAGATATCCTTCCTGTTGTCCAGGACCAGCACAAATGCCACCTCCTCCATGTAGCCTTCCCTTATCGCCCAAGTTAGGAATGACTTATCTGTCCTTCTCTTCTGATCCAATAGTTCTTTGTACCTCCTTTTAGCACTGATCTTATACCTGCCTTTGTTACAGCTGTTGGGGTCAGGGGGGTGCCTGATAGACGGAGGCCAGAGAGTCAGGGGGAATAGCACTCTCTGAGCCCAGGGCCCATGGCCAGGTCCTCTCTACCCCTGCAGCCTAACCCTGTGGCATACATACCATATACAAAAAATAAATAAATAAAAAAATTAAAAATAAAGCTGGATTAGATTTTCTTTTCCCTTAATTTTAGCTGTCCAAAATTAGCTTGATCAAACTCCTCTGTGGGTGGCACTGCTATCCTGGGTCCATGCATTGCTCTTATGTTGTATTTATTTACTATTTTTTGGTCTCCTTTTCTTCCCATGTCCATTCCCTCCCATCTACCCATCCCTCCTCTGCCATGAACACATACTCTTGTTTATTAAAGTGCAACCTCCTAACCTACCTAAACAACTGTAAAGTCATTTACACATCTATGTGAGCTCAAATGAGGCTTGATATTGTTTTGGATTGAATTTGCCTTGGACTAAGAGAATGGAGCACTTCATTGACATTTCAGGCACCAGCAGGCATGAGGAAGTGCTTTGGGTGGGGAAGGTGACCCCAGGAGTCACAATGAGTCACAGAAGGCAGTCAGGGCTGGGTCTGGCCCCGGGGCTTGAAGCTTCCACTCCCTTTCCCAGCTCCCTCAACCTCAGAGCCACAGTCCCCCAACCTCTGGGCTCTGCCCCCTCTGGTAGACCTGTGTACACAGCTGCCACATTGCCAACCAGGAGGCCCTAGAAAGTTCTCTCTTTTATCTGTCCTTCGGACATATTTATACTGCTGTTTGAGAGCACTCATTTCTGTTTCTCCTGCGTCTTTGGGTTTGCAGCCCTGATGGACCACAGCATTGGTGGGACATCCTGCTCCCGGCATCAGGCGAGGAAACGGCATGAATGCTGAGACCAGTGGTTCTCGTTTTCATCTCAGGGACCCTTCATACTCTTAAAAACCATCAAGGCCCTCAAAGAACTATTATTTATGTAGGTGATATCTATTTATATTTACCATATTAGAAATGAAAACTAAGAACATTTGTAAATATTTAATTAATTAAAAATAGTACTAAAACCTCTACATATTAGCCTCTACATAACATTTTTAAGAAAATAAACATATTTTCTAAAACATAAAACATCTAATGAAAGGAGAGACATTGTTTTACATTGTTGCCAATCTCATTAATGTCAATATCTGGCTTGACAAGTCAAAGCGTATTCTCAGATCTGCTTCTATGTTCAGTGTTGCCAGGTCACTCATCAGGTGGCCGTTGGAAGACTCCACTGTGCCCCTGAGAAAGACTGGGAGTGAAACAGGCAGCTAGCATCTCAGTACTATTATGAAAATAGTTCGGACCTCATCAACCCTCTGAAAGGACGGCTGGAACCCCCAGGGGGTCCTCGGACAACACTTTGAGCACTGCCTGCCATTTCAGATAATCAGTTTCTCCATGGCAAGGCCATTCCAGGTTCATCCTTAGAGTCGGGGTTTTAATAGACTCTGGTTCGAAAAACTTAGAAGTCTTTGTGTTGTCGAGGGTTATCCCACCTGTCACAGTCATCCGGGAAAATACCCCACGTATTCTAGTGATGCTTCTCATGCTGACACATTTGGGTGCTGACTGGTGGGGGTGGGCGAGGTAGCCTTGAGGAGTGCTGGACATTCTGTTGAATACCCGTGGTGGTCTGTGGTCTTTGACCTTGGAGGAAACAGCCCAAGGCTGTTCAGAGTGACATCTGGCTAATAACATGGATGGTCAGTTGGGTAACACTACATTTTAGATTTTTAAAAAGTAACACTGCTTAAAATTTAAATTACAAAACTAGTAACTATTCCTCTAATTCTATACATATATTCAAGTATGTGCAAAATGATGTTGGTACACATTTAATAATTGTAGCATCATTTGAACAGTAAAAATTAGAAACAATCTCAGTGTCTATTACCATGGGCATCCAAAGAATAAAATAGTCACAGCTGAAAAAAGAATGAGAAAGTTCTGTGTGTGTTAATATTAAATTAACTCCAGGCTATACCAGGCATTTTAAGGAGCAAGAGGCAGAACAGCACATACCAGCCTGCTATCATCTGGGGGAATAAAACTGTACCCTGTGTGTGTCTGCTTGTGTGTGCATAAGGCAGACAATAAATTGGAAATTGTTGCTTCCAGGGTGGGAACTAGCTGGCTGGGGTAAAGGGCAGAGAAGCATCTTTTCAAGATTATTCTTTTGTACCTTTTAAATTCTGAATTATATGAATACTGCCTAATAAAACAAATACATTTAGGAGCCCCAAACTACAAACAATTACATCCTCTTCTCCTTCCAGAATGAAAAATAAAAACAGTTCCTAACTCTTTTAGTCCCCAAAAGTGTTCTTAGTATTCCTTGAGCAGTAGTGTGATTATTAGAAGAAATGTACAGTGTGTGAGCTGACATGTGCAAAGGGGACACTAGAAGGATATAATAAGATACACTTGTGAGAAGCACCAGTCATTTTTGCAATCGTGCCTTATTCTTCTTCTCACTCTTGCCTCATTTCACAAATAGGGAAACTGAGTCCAGGCAGGCTAAGTGAGTCATGCACGTCATCTGGGCTCGTGTTGGGCAGGGGATTTCCCAACTGCTCCTGCAGATCCCTTTGGGAGGATGTGGTGGTGGGCGGGGGTTGGGGGACACAGGGGGTGAGAGATCCTCTTTCGTTTGGTCTCAAACACACCTCTCTCCTTGCCTCCCACCTGAAGTGTGGGCCGAAGGCCGTCGCAGGGTGAAAGGCTTGGGTCTGCACCTTCCCCATTCTCTGTCCCGGGCCACCCACACACCCAGGCAAGGCACCTCCTCCAGGGTCCTCCAGGCTCCTCCAGGACATTGCTCTTGGGTTTCGTAGACACAGTTCCTTTCTCCAAAACTGGCATTACCCAGCTCAGCTTTCTCACATTATGACACAATTTGGTTGGTTCAGAGTGACTTTGGGCTGATTCAAGTCAACTTCTTTAGACGTCAAAGATTTCCCAACAATTAGGGATCCAGAAGTCTGTGACGGAGGCTCACTATGATCTGACAGAGGTTGAGTGGCCCTGGTCAGGGTGTTCTAAAGGAGTCTTTGGCATTCATTCATTCACTCACTCACTCACTCAACACAGATATATCAAACCTATTCATGGCGTGATGCACTGTACAGAGTGATGACCAGAACAGATAGGCACTGTTCTTGTGGAGCTTACCTTCTTGTGAAGAGAGCCTAACAATAATCAAGTAAACCACTAAATGATCGAGGTAAATTCATACACTAATAGATCAGAGGGTAATGTGGCAGAGGGGCTGGGGAGCTGACTTTGGATCGTGTGCTTGGGGAAGGCCTATTTGAAGATGGCTTTCTTAAGAGAGGAATGCTATCTCAATGCCTGTTGAGGCTCTCCCCTCCAGTGGTGAGATTCTAACATTGTCCCCATCCAACAGGTTTCTGTGAAGGAATAAAAAGATGGAGGAAAATAGGAGTTCCAGCTTCCAGGGGTCCTGTGTTTGCCAGCTGCTGCAAAACACATCTGAGAAGCTCTGTTTCCAGCTAACGGGGACCACCTGTCCCAGGAACCTCAGTACCTGGGATAAGAACCTCCTGAGTGGACCTCTTGTCAAAATGAATTGGACCAACTGTAGTTTCCAGGACTCCAGAGCCAGCAATGCCTACCTGAACAACACCACACCATTGCCCTGCTTGGGCACTGGTAAGACCCTGAAAATAAGCAAAGTGGCTATTTTGTTACATCATAGTTTGAACATTTAGGTCTTAAACAGCCCTGTGATGTAGGGATTCATGCTGTGCCCATCTCACAGATGAAGAAAACAAGGCTCAGAATGATTACCTGGTTTTCCTGAGATCACACAGTTAGGAAGTGCCTGAGATTCATGTCACTGGACTCTGAATCTCAGGCTCCTTCAGGACGTCATCCTCCACACTTATTCCCCTCACCCAATAACCTTCCTCTGCCTTCCCAGGATACGTCCTTGCCTTTCTGACAAGGAACACCTGTTTCCAGCTGTAAACAGGTATTCTGTACCCCAGCCAGCATCCCCTAGCTGGTGCCCCAGGGTCCCCTCTCATTGCTCTAGACTTATGTGTGACACCTCACTCCACGCCACCCTGCTCCCCCACACATCAAGCCCTGTGTCTTGGTACCTCACCTTGGGTGTCAGTGCTGTGGGCACTGGGATGATCTGGTTTCCAAGTTCCCTTCCTACTCCTTGCCCAGAAGGTGGGCTGGAGCTGTCAAAGAGAAACTTGGTGAGGTCAGCAGACTTACTCAGAAGGGGGACAGAGAAAGAGGCAGAGAGGAAGTGAGCTTTTAGGTGCCTGACACAATTCTGTCTGGCCTTAGTGGCCCAGGAGGCCATAATTCTTGCTGCTCTCACCTGTGAATACTATTTAACGTCAGATTGCCCCAATAATCCTGTATGTATGATGTCTGTCCAGAAGGTGTCCAGCCATGTAATGTGAAAAATAGAGACATTTATTGAAGAAGATACAAGAAACATTGTACATAAGACAATGACACCTCAGTCCCCTTCAAAGTAGGCACCTTGGGACCTCACACAGTTCTCCCAATTGCCATCAGCTGCTCTGTCATATTTTCCTGAATCTCATTGACAATCTGAAATTTCTTCTCTTTCAAATGTGATTTTAGTTTTGGGAAAAGCCACAACTCGCGGGGTTCCAAATCTAGGTTGTAGAGGGGCTTAGTCACCTGGGTGATTTGATGTTTCACCAAAAAAAACTGCATGAGACATGATGCATGAGCGGGTGCATTGTTGTGATGAAGCTGCCAATCACCAGTTGCCAGTAACTTCAGCCTTCTGAATCATCTGAATACTTTCAGCAGAGGAATGTTCAAGCTTAACACAAAATTTGATGCAGATTCATTGCTCTACTTGCTCAGTCATTTTGAATATGATGGCCACCCAGTACACATGCTCACTCAACAGTGTCTACCACCCCCACTGGCTAGTACAGTGAAGTCATTCCTGTTCACACATGAGCATTCTAACCTACTCTCCTTGGCTGCCAGGTTACGTTGATGTTACACAAACCATTCTCATTATATTAGCAATGGCTGGACTTCTTTTCAGACAGACCTTGTATCCTTCCACCTCACCTTGGCAGCAATCTTGGCTTTTGTGTGTCTGAGTAGCCAGCTCCCCCAGACATGTGTTTGGAGAGGTGCTGCCTGCAAGGGGGGTGGGGGCTGAATCATGCAGGTCGATTTCATGGGAGAGGAAATAAGAAGAGGCCTAACTGCAAGGAAAGGGAGCTTTGGGGGTGCAGTTGAAAACATAGACTCAAGTCCTGGATCCAGCACTTACCTGGGACACCTGTGTTGCCCTGAGTTTCCTCATCTATACAGCAGGAGAGTTTGGCTAGATATGTTTTAAGGTTCCTTCTAACTCTGAAAATCTAGGGATAGGCATGGAAAATCTAGGGATAGGCATGGCTGGAGGGGGTCGGGCTTGGGGTCTCCATCCCTTGAAGCAGGAGAAGTTTTTTCAAAGTGTGAATAATAGAAGCCCCACCTCCTCACCAGAGCTCAGACAGGTTCTCACACCTGACACTTTCTCCTAGTTCCAGCCCAACTAGCTGATGTCCTGACCCCTTCCCTGCTCTTCACATGCCCTTCCCAGGGTACCAAATAGCAGCAGCATCCTGGTTTTCTTTTTTCTGGACATCCTGTTATAGAAGGTAACCTTTAACCCTTTGCAAGAACGGTAGGACTCAAGAGTAAAATGATCACACAAAAACAGCCCAGTATCATGTGCATAAACATACAATTTTAAGTCAGAGAGATGTGGTTTCAAGCCTAAACTCTGTCACTTTCTACCTCTATGACCCTGAGCTGGTTTCCATGCTGTGAGATGGGAATAGTAATTGTTCGTACCTCATTGCCTATTTATGAAGATTAAATGAGATAGTAAATGTGCCTGGCATATATTAAATCACCAATAAAGATCCATTTAGATCCTGTAGAGCTCATTTGCATTGTCTTAATCAGTCTGGGTTGCTGTAACAAATTACTGTAGACTGGGTGGCATGTAAATGACAGGAATGTATTTTTTCACAGTTCTGGATGCTGATAAGTTCAAGATTAAGGCGCTGGTGCATTCAGTGTCTGGTGAGAGCCCACTTCCTGGTTCCTAGACCACAGCTGTCTTCTGTTTCCTCAGGGGTGGCAGGCAAGGAAGGGGCTCTCCAGGGTCTCTTTTGTAAGGGTGCTGATCTGTTCATGATCAGAGAGCTCCACTCTCATGACTTAATCATCTCCCAAAGGCCCCACCTCCTAAAACCACCACATCAGGGCTTAGGTTTTAACAGATGGATTTTGGCAGGACACAAACATTCAGTATATAGCCTGTGTGTGAAAATTACCCTCAAATCTCCTCTGCTTTTCCTCTCTGTCCCTTTCTGCAGAGAACAGCACCACCCTGACACTAGGGACTACACCTAAAGAAGTTGACAGGTGGGTGAGAGAAGGGCTAGACCTGTAGAGGAATAGTGAGGATTTTGGAGAGGGGCTCTTTTTGGCCCAAATGTGGAGATTGGTGTGGGTGGGACCATGGAGATTGGCCATGGAGGTTGAGGCAGAGAAGACAGGCTCAAAATGGAGGCAGGAGATGGAAGCCCAGAGTTGGGAGAGTGTCTACAGCGGCAGGACCACAGGGTGATTGTGTGGGTGGTCAGCACCAAGGCTAGACAGGGCAGTTGGGTGGGTATCCTCAGTTTTCTTATTTGCTCTCTTCAGCTTCAACACAGCAGCCGCAGCCATTTCTGGCTCCATTGGTGTCGTGGCCATCATCTTGCTCCTAGTGGGTCTCTTGTCCATGACCCTGAAGAAATGGAGGCGCGAGAGTGAGTGGAACAAGTTGGCCCTGGAACTGAAAATGTAGAAAGGGGAGAAACTTGGGGTGGCGATGGGGGAGTCTTTTCTTGGGGGAAGCTTTGGGAAAGGGGAAGGGTGGGTAAGTTATGGGGTCTGTTCCCTGGGGTTGCCATGGATTCTGGATGGAGCAATAAGATTTATTTATGACACAAGTTCCTTATGCTGAAAGCCATATATAAGTATTCTGCATATACACATTTATTATATGCATCAGCTAAAAGACATATTGATGCCAAATAATCTTATCTAAATAACAACCAAAATTATGAAGTGTCCTAATACTCCCCCTGTCTCTTCCTGGGCATTTAGCTCAGCCTCAGAGGCACAATGGATTGAACATGGTGGATTTTGAATTTCAAAGTTTAACCCTAAGTTCAACAATCAATCAAGTAAAGATGGTTACTGCCCCAACTCAGGCTGACTCTTAGTTTATTAATTTTTCTAGGACTTTTTAAGAAACAACTGAGGCATCAGACCAACTTTCTTCACAAATCCTCGGTAAGGAAAGCATTGAGTCATGCCTGGGGGGGGTCTCCTGGTTGCCTCCACCATGACCTCATGCTCTTTCCTAGACAGGCCCCATGCACGCGTGGTGGGGTGAGGAAGAGAACAACTCCAAAAGAACTGTTTTTTGAAAATTGGGGAGGATCTTGGGCTTGTTCAGCAAGAACCCAGTGTTCTGCTTGCTGTCCAGTAGGGAGCCCAGTAGAGGGCATTGTCTCTGGTCTTTGGTGCCCAGCCTTCTGACTCTAATGGGGGTCCTGTCTCTAAAGGAGCCTTCCTGCCATGTTGATGCCATATATTCCAACGTGATCAACCTGGCCCCCTGGAAGGAGGATGACTTTGCTGTCTACGCCAACATGCCCCCTTTTGATTACCCCAGGAGGACAACACCACACCAAGTGGAATATGCCTCCATTGTATTCTACTGATGGCAAGCTGATGAGATGCTCCAGAGTGGAGAGTCAGACCTGTGGCCCGGCTGGATCCTGACACAGCTTTCGCTTTAGATGTGTGTGTGTGTGTGTGTTTTAAAAAGTATATAAAACATATTCTGATAAAGGTAAATGCGTATTTCTTCTTATTTATTGAAAGCAAAGTACAATCTAAGGGAAAGGAGTGACAAGGGACATGCGCTACCCAACCACCCATCGCCCCAGGTTCCCGAGACAGACTGGCCCACAAAGGAGCCCTTTCTAGCTCTTGCTCCCACTGAGGCTGGGCCTGAGGAAGGAGTTCATATTTAGGGCCCAGCATCTGGATTTTGCCTCTCCTGTTCTGCCCTGTCAGGAATTAACATCCTGCAGGAGTTAATGATGAGTCACGTTCATGTCTGTGGAGATGTGGATGGCTGACTACCTTGGATGTCTGGACAATATACCAAGGGTGGAGTGGGGACTGTTTACTGAGGGAATGAGATTTGATGAGTTCCCACAAAGGATGAGCTTTCACCTGGGAAAGGAACTGGGGAAGGAGCACCCAGTAGGAAGTGGGCTGCATGTCACCACTGACCAGGAACAATGGAAGACGGGGACCTTGGAAGATGTCTTACTCCTTCTTCCCTTCAATTAGAAACATTTATTAAACACCACCATGATCTAGACTCTGGGACTATAACAGTGAACCCAACAGGCAAATCCTTGTCCTCGAGGGAGGGGAAGACAGAAAATAAACAAATAAACAAGCACATACTCAGACAGCCATATGGTGGTGCGTGCTATGGAGAAAAAGAAAATGAGTTCTAGAAGGTAGGGCCCACCAGGTGGGAGCGAGTTGTTATGAGATGGTCAGCGAAGGCCTCACTGACATTTGACCTGAAGGAAATGAGAAAGTGAGACCTGAGATAAATGAGGAAGAGCATTCAGGAAGAAGGAACAGCAAGTGCAAAGGCTCTGAGGTAGAGTGAGCCGTACATGATCCAAGAACAGCAAGGAGGTGAGTGTGTCTGGAGTGGAGGGGGCCACATGGAGAAATGAGATCCAGGCAGCAAGGCACCTCCAGAGTCTGGGAACCAGTGGCACAGGGCAGAATCTCCCATGGCACTGTCCATGGAACATTAGTGCGGGGCCCCCGGACCTTTGGGGATTCTGCCTCTGCCAGAAGCACTCTCCGCACTCCTGCTGTTCTTACCTGTTAACCAGCAGATTCCCTCTCACTCACTGAAGCCAGATTCCTGGTCTTCACCTTAATCCTATCATCACCCAAAGTGATTTCAATGGCAATGTAGACTGACAGTTCTCCCTCTTGGGACTCAAGTGTCCCCAAAGTGCATTCTTCTAGTTATGGTAGATATTAATAGGTATTAGGGCGAAGAGTAAATGAGATCTATGACCAGATAAGTTTGGGAAATAAGGAACAAGCAAAGAGTAATGGAGAGAAAAAAAGAATCTTTCACTTAAAATAAAAGCTGATGGAAGCCATTACCAATAAGAAAACACACCCTATAGCTCCATCCACTTACAGGGGCTGGTGAGGGGAGGGAAAGGTGGGAAAAACACATGACAACTTCCAAGCCTCTGCCACCTTTTCTGTGGTGCTGAAGAGCACATCCCAACACAGAGAGCCCTTTGTGTTAGCGGAAATGTGTGGTGACCATGTGCCTTGGTCTGCTGGGAACTTGACTGGGCGCATCTGTTTTCCCAGCAAAGTTATTATTATGTCCCCTTTCACTCTTGTAAGTGTCATAGTTTGAATGATAAATTATGTGGTCACCTGTTAACAAGGCTTTGAAAGTGCAAAAGTAGGTTCAAGAGATCAAGTAAGGACGGGAAAGTGAAGCTGTTTTGTACAATAAGTGAGGAGAAGGAAGTTGGGTGGGGGAGGAGGAGGCTGGAAGAATCAGAGCTAGGAAGATAACAAGGAAAGTTCCCAGAGGAAAGGGGTTTAAAATCACGCAGGAGACTTCCACTTCTCCAAACCTCAGTAATGCAGGTGCAGGTGTTTAGGGAAAGGGGAAACCCTGCAAAGGGGACTGAAATCCACATCTTGGTCAGCAGAGAGCAGAAAGAAGGGGGAAGTGGTAAGAGGTGCAGTATGAGTGAGCTGGACAATCCAGGGTGAGGCTAAACTCAGAACCAGAAGTGACTATAAGAGCGCAAGCCCTCTGGAAATTCTCAGAAATTCCAGGGAGGGTGCCAGAGTTTCCAAATAACCTGTGATCAGGAGGCTGAGCCAACTGTGTTTCAACCTTTTGAGTGTGTGTGTGTGTGTTTATGTGTTTCAGTCTTCACGGACAGGCTGACCTTAGCATAAATCTGGGTTGTAAAATTTAAACAGGTTCCTTTATTGCAAGATTGCTCAGAGTCTTAAATATGTAATGTGCTTTGGGAACAGACATGTATTTAGTATTCTTTAAACTCTCTCTTCTCCACAGAGCATCTCATAGGACAGGGAGCATTCCTTGTAACACCCAATGGGAAGAGCTTGTTTAAGGGGCACCTGCCCAGGGGGCCCCAGCTGCCAGGCTAACTCTGCTTCTTCCCAGGAAGGGTGCAGAGTGGCCATTAGACTTCCACATTGTCAAATGGGGGGTCTGGGTTCAGCCTGAAGCCAGGACACCCCCTCTACTGTCCTTGATATGTGCCCAGCAGCCCTGAGTTCTTAGGGAGGTAGCAAAAGACATGTCTCTAGGGTAGCAGCTCTCAGCTAGGAGCAATTTTACTCCCCCTGTTGGGAGACATTTGCAAATGTCTGTAGACATCTTTGATTGTCACAACTGGGCAGAGCTACTGCCCTTTAGTGTGTGGAGGCCAGAGATGCAGTTAAACATCCTGCAATGCACCGAACAGCAGCCCACAGATAGAAATCCTGCATACAATGTCAAAGTGTTACTGTTGAGAAACCCCTCCCTAGGTTCTTCCTGGAGCTCTTGTGAGCCTGACCTGGTGCTGGCTCCTATAGGTATCTCGAAGATGTTGTCCAGGCTCTCTGTGCCCCCAGTTTGGGACCCATGGTGACTTCAACAACAGTAAAATGAGCACTACCTAATAATTAAGAAATCTCAGCCACTGAAGAATGGATGACCAACCATCCTGGTTTGCCTGAGACTATCCCAGTCACTACAGAGAGTTCCAGGTTCCAGGAAACCCCTTGGGTCTGGTCTATTAACCTCTAGGACTCTCTGATACTGAATTAGCCTTTGTGGTTTTGGAGCAAGCAACAGCCCTTCTGAGTGAAGATGGGAGAATTCTGGACATTTCCAGCTAAAGCCCAGAGGAGAGGCGTATGCTGTAAAGAGGCCCAGGTCTTGGGCATTAGGACAGATTCCTCCAGCTCATCCTCAAAAGAAGCTGTTTACATCTCTAGCAGGGTGGGGGTAGCTGTCTCCCTCTCCTTGCCAGCCACCTGCACTCACTGCTCCATCTTGCATCATACTCAGTGCATTTTGCTGAAGGAAGCAGTGGGTGCTGCTCTTCTGGAAGATTCTTGGGAAATTCTGTTCATTGGGCTGGGGAGTTTCTCAACATTTGGCCATGTGGCAGTTATATCTCCCGGGAAAGCATAATTCTGCAAGGTTCTGAAAATCCCCAAAGAAAAGGTAGGTATGTGTTTCAACAAAGGCAGGAATTTGGAACATGAAACGTTTTGCAAAGCCCTGAGAGAAATCTCTGTGTGACTGGAAATGAGGCTCAATTGCTGTTTTAATGTCTCTATCAGAAGGTAGAAAAAGCTGGCCGCTCCAGCAGGGAGGAGTACTTTTTCACTGACATTATTTAGCATTACTGGCCCATGGTGATACTAAAGAGCAGAGGGTCTTTATTTGGTTTTCTTATTTTAAATCCTCTGCAGACAATGCACCCCTGTGAGGCCTGCTTCCAGGATGCACGGCTCCCACTGCCACCTGCCCATGCCCTTCTCCACGCTCTTGTCAGTTGTCAGTCTTGGCCCTTGACTTACAGTGTAAAACCTTTGTCAAGTTAACGAATGTCCCTAAGTCTAGGTTTTCTCATCTGTAAAATGAAAATAACGATCACAACCTCAGAGATAGGTGATGTCTAATGAAGTTATATCAAAGTATTCTGCACACTACACTATAGAAAATGTAAAGAATCATTATCAACTGATGGTATCACAGTGATAAGAAACTATTAATTGAAAGGACTGGATCAGCAGGACTGTTTTGCCCTTGTGAGAAGAAAATGGCCATTATCAGTTACCACCTTTTTTTTGAGGACCTGCTTCAAGTATCATTTGGCAACAGTGCTTCATAAACAGGAACTCAACAAAAAATCAGTTGCTGGCCCCTAATTTTTCACTTCCTTAGGAACCGATGACCCAGGTGGGGCATGGAAACAGACACAAAACAGTGGAGGAAAATTTGTGTGCCACGTAGGCTAGCCCCTATGGAGGAAAGGACACACTCAGTGTGCCACAGTCCTAATTTATAAAAGTGGTGAGTGTGGAGGGGTAGACCTTGTCCTCAAAGGATTCTTGTTTTTATAGGACGTTGCATTCTGGGCTTTGTAAAAATAGTTTACTCCCTTAATATACTCTGAAAATGTGTTTCTGGGTATAAATGTTAAAAGCTTGGTTTACTGGATTCACTGATGTCTCCCGGATACACTCCAACTAGGGCAATCTTGACTAGGCAAGCAAAGTGTAAGAACAGCCAGAAGTCCCAATGAGCTACATGGATGTTCCTTGAGGCTTAACTTCTGCCTCTTTGCCATGTCTTTGGGGTCCCCTTGGCAGGCTCTACCTGTCCCTCTGATACTGGAGCACCTCGGGGTCTTGCCTGGTGCTTTGCCTTCTGACTTCACTCCCAAAGACTTCAGTGACATCTGCTTGCTGCTGCCTCTGAAATCCACACCCTCCCACTGCTGACAGACACATGTATCTAACTGCTTCCTGGGCTACACCTTTTGTGTTTATAATAATGACATTAATGATGATAATGATACACACTGCACCATCTTTATAACATGTAAACACTTATATCATCTTTACACACATATTGTGAGCGCCTCACATATGTTAACTCATATAATCCTCACAAAAGCACTTGAGAAAGCCATTATTAAGCTGAGTCACAAAGAGTTTAGGTGACAGCGACAAGATGGCAGAGCCAGTGTGGCTTCATTGTCTCAGTCCTTAACCACCATGTGTACAGGCCCCTGTGCTCTCTCACTCATGCAGCAGGACCAGAAGGCACCCCGCTGCTCCTTCACGACTCCCCATCTCACTCGGTCACCCACTTGCCCAGCTACAAATCTATGAGTCACCTTGAATTCTCTTCCTCCCTCTGCCACTCCAAGCAGCAGTTCAATCTCCAAATCCTATCACTTCTACCTCCTACATAGTTAAAAAATTTGTTTGATTGCCTTTCTCTTCTCCAACCTATTTGCCACATTACAAACTCTGATCTTGCCTCCTTTTAATTGATCGATGCACCATCAATGGGTTCTTGTTGTCCATTGGATAAATTCAAATTTCCTAACAAGCCTACGAGACCTCTGTGATCCTGCCCACACCTGCCTCTCTGGCCTGTCACTCCCTGCCTCCCTCTCCCCCTTTCCCTTGGCTGGTTCTCAGTGTTTCAAATGCACAGGGCTCTTTTTGCCCACACTGAGCCTCCAGTCATGCCCTTCCCACTGCCTATAGCCTCCCTAGGTCAGAGATGAGGCCTTCTCCGACCAAAGACTGTGATGAGCCCCTGTGCTGCATGTTCCCTGCCTGCCTTTCTCTTTCCACAATAGAGCATTTATCACACCTTTGTGTCATTTCTCATCTGAAGTCCATGGTCCCAACTGTGTGAGGGACTGTGTCTATCTCTTCACCTCTGTATCTCAAGTGCTTAGCCAGGTGCATCGCAGATCATCAAGTAATAATTGTAGAATGAATGAATGGCAGAACAATTTGGAGGGAATAGCATAGTGACCATAGCGGCAAAGCCCTCAATATCTTATGAATACTTTTTAAATATCAGTTTAACTGAGATAGAATTCACATAATGTACAATTCACTCATTCAAAGTGTAAAATTCCATATTTTTTAGTATATTCACAGAGGTGTGCAATTGTCACCACAATCAATTTTAGAACATTTCCATTACCCCAGAAGAAATCCTGCAGTCATTCTTCATTTCTCCCTCCATTAATTTTTAAAGATAACAAACCTAACATTGGTAGACTCTTTTATAGTTAGAGTACTTCATGCGTGCTCATTGATTCATAAACAATTCTGTGGGGTGGGCATCTTAACGCATCTGTTAGTGAGTTTAAACTTCAGTTTATAGAGTGAAGCCTTTAATCAATAAAGAATTTCATCTGCCCTGACTGGTGTGACTCAGTGGGTTGGGCATCATCCCACAAATCGAAAGGTGGTGGTTTCATTCCCAGTCAGGGCACCTGCCTGTGTTTTGAGCCACATCCCAGGTTCAGGGAGGGCAAGAGGCAACTGGCTGATGTTTCTCTTGCATGTCAATGTTCCTCTCCCTCTCTTTCTCCCTCTCTTTTTCTCTCTCTAAAAATAAATAAACAAAATCTAAAAAAAATAAATAAATAAAAATGAAGGATTTAATCTGAAAGGAAGGGGAAGGTTGGTGGGAGTAGCTGGGGGTTAGAATCTCCTATCTATATAGAGAGCCAACTCTGGAAGGGCACAGAGCTGGGCGCTCCCTGTGTGTTTTCCCACGAACTTAGGGCGCAGCACTACACCTGAAGGCATGATGGCATGTCAGCCGTCTACAGAACTCATAGCTGGTACAGAAAGTCAATTAGGGAATAGAGAGGTACAAAACACATTGCATAGAGGAAATGGCTTTTGAATTTGAATCCTGATTCTGCTACTTACTACAACTCTATGAATTTGAGCAAATTAACCTTCTCAGTAATCAGTTTCTTTCTTATAAAACATTATCCACAATATCTTCCTTGTAAGTTGTGAGAATTAAATGAGTTAGTGTATATGAAGCAACTGGTACCCTTGCTGGTGCTCAATAAATAGTAAAACATTTTTTACTAAGAATAAACAGACTTGAAAATATAAATTAATACAGCCATGGGAATAAAAATGTGTAATTACGGAAAAAATGATAACTCATGGCTATCCAGCTTGTAGTGAAATGGACAGGCTCAAATACTGCTAATGGAACAGGCTCTGAAAGTGGAAGGTTAATGTGATGCAGAAGCAGTGCAGACACGTTTCTTCAACTTAGACACCTACTCCTGGAACTTAGTCCTAAGGAAATCGTCTGAAACAAACCCACATCCCAAACCAGTGTGCACACCCTCATCCATCATGGCGGTGTCTCCAACAGTGAAAACTTTGGAAACAATTGAATGATGCAAGGGGTGTTTTGGAATTTAGAGTCATATCAGCAAAATGGGAAAACAGGAAGCCATTAGAGATACTGTGAAACCTGTCTGGGCACTGAGGGACAGGCAGGTCATGCCTGTCTGACTCTTGCATGTCAATGTTCCTCTCCCTCTTTCTCCCTCTCTTTTTCTCTCTCTAAAAAAAAAATAAACAAAATCTAAAAAAATAAATAAATAAAAATGAAGGATTTAATCTGAAAGGAAGGGGAAGGTTGGTGGGAGATGCCCTAAGCTGGGAGGGGCCTGGAAGATTGTGAAGAGGGAAAAGCTAGCTGAGTGCCCAAGATGCTGCTAAAAGGGTACCTGGCTGCCTGGTGGTGGGAGCTTTATAGATTTGTTCAGGATCTTGGATTTCATCCTAAGTGCAATGGGAAGCCACTGGAGAGTTTTAAGCAGAGAGTGACATAACCAGAATTGTGGGTTTTAAAAGCTTGTTTGGAAATATTTTTTTTCAAACTCCAAGTGTGCAGGTAAAGCATTATGCAAAAATGTTTTAGGGTAATTGGATAGTGAGCAGGGTTTTTTCCACCCTTTTCAAAAATTCCTAATCCTGTCGACACACCATTCTCAGATGTGATTCTTCAGCAGAGAGGAGCTGTGTCCTCTGGGAGAACTTGTGGGACACAGATTTTGGAAACCTTGTGCAAGGGGAAAAGGGCTTGGGAGGGATGTAGTCTTAGAGACATATGTGGGGGGTGGGAGGTGAAATTGTGTCATCCATCTCCATCTGCTGCTTTTTCTGCATGAGGTGATAAACTATCAAAAATAGCTTCCTGCTGATGTTACAGCTGTGATAATTTCTTTTATCACTGTTTTGATCTGCCCTGAACCCTGTCTTTGAGGCTGGAGTCTGTCAGCTGGAAGCAGAGAGAGGAGGGCCGTGTCACCCAGGGCTTGGCAGAGGAGCCTTTTGGGAGCGGGTGTTGTTCGAGGAGCACCAGCAAATCCATTCCCAGTGGCCTCTGGGCAGGAGCAGGCTATGTGCCTTTGCGAGCAAATCACTCATCTTCAGCAAGAACATGCAATTAGTCTGTGTGAGATGCAGGCATATCTACCCGCTATTAGAGAGCACTTCAATTTACTTCCTCATGTATTCATGCTGCAGAACATTTGCTGAGGACTTATTAGGTACAGATGGAGTTCTGGCAGATGGGGATACAGAGAAGAAAACACAGACTGTCAATAATTCTTTACCTTTTAGAGCAGAGTCATAGATGATCTAATCAAAACCCCTTACAATTCTGTGTGACAAAAATGTAGTCCAGAGAGGTTGAATGCCTCTGGTCTCCAGGTCACTGAGGTCCAAGCCAAGTTGGCTTTCCACTGTTGTAACCCTCTCCTACTGAAAGTACACATGGATGACCCCAAATATGTCATGTTCAAAGATTCTTAACTACCTGATGTTGTTGAGCACTAGAGTGGCATCATAGAAGGTCCTAGTTCAAGACTGGTCCATGCAGAGGAGCAGAGCAGTGGGAATGTCACACAACATCTACACAGGACTCGTGTACGAGAATAACTGGAGCAGAGAGTCAAGCATATGGGCTCCATTCGCATAGGTTAACTGCAGCTGGAGTTAATTCCACAGAGGCTGTGGCAGAGCTAGGAGCACAGAGAAGTGTATACTGATGTTGGCGGGGCGAACCTGGAGGGTGCAGAGAGCCCGGTTAGGAAGTCACTCTGTATAGCTACAACAGCCATTTCAGGCTGGCCTGATTCAATGTTTAAGGCAAAGAAGTAGTCCTTGAAAAATTATCCTCATCCATTGCCATATGTCCCAGACATGCTGTCTCAGTTTATGGCCACATCACACAGATTGAGAGATGAGCCAAGTTGGAAGGGTCTTTTGCTAATATCTAGAAACCTACTTCTTCATTTTATGGAGGAAGGACATTGAATGCCCTGATGAGAAAGTGATCTGTCTGAGCTCATGGAGCAAACTTGTTCCAGAGCTGGGACTTGAACCCAGGCATCCTGATTCCTCCTCCAGTGCTCTTCCACTCTACCAGGTGGTGTGCATGTTTGAGGTGTTTAAATGTGAGCTCACATGGAGAGGAAGAAACTGCTAATCTCCTCCATCTAGTAAACTGTCTGCATGGAGGAACAGGGTAGGAACTTACTAAAAGAGGGGGGTGTTATCTGTGGCTTCACCCTGCTCTACTCAACTAAGCCTGATCATATCTTCAGAGCAGCAGCCCCCACCCTACTGGAAATGATGAAACATTTGTGACTGACCTCAGTGACGGAGAAGCTTCTGGGTGGGGCTGGGGGTTGGTGGGGAGATATGTTCCTCGGGACATAGCTGAAACACAGGCTGGGATCAGACCTTGCTCGTGGTCCGGGAAGTAAGTATTGTCTGGGTAGGTAGGATTTTAAATGATTTTGAGGAATGCATGTCTGTTTGTGAACATACATATGTAGAGTTTTCAGAGGGGATTATCCATTTGTGTTGACATTGCAAGATGTAGAATTCAATTGTAGGTTGCTCTTTTTGACGTTAATTTCTTGCTTCTGAAGCAGAAATCTGTCTGCAGTCACAGCAGCAGCCATCAGGGCTCTGGCCAGGAGATGCATGGACTTTGGAGGCAGACAGAACTAAATCCAAAGAACTCTGCTGAACTGTCACAAGCCTCAGTTTCCTCATCTGGAGAATGGGCATAAACCACCCACCTCACAATGTTGCTGTGAGGATTACAGACAATGCCCATGTGGTGCCCAGTACAGTGCTCCAATAGTAGCTATTAACTGATTAGTCTTTTTTTCTTTTTTTAAACTGGGAATCAGATCCCTGAGAACATCTCCCTGCAGGTGTTTTTCCATAAGATTCATCCTGAGCTGTAAAGGACTGGTATATGTGGAGGGAAGGGAACCAGCCTGGCAATTTAAAAATGTTATGAAAGGGAGTCAGATAATGCATACTGTCCAACAAAAAAGCCCTGAAGCTGGGCCTTGACACCCAATGAGGAAGGAACAATGCTAGAAGGTTCCAAGGTCTCACTTAGCCCTCTTGACAAATTCTGGGAGGAAGACATTTAACTTCCCTATTAACAGAGAAGGAAATGGAGACTTGGGGACGTTAATGGCTCCTCCAAGATTAAACAGTATTTATTATATTATTTAATTGCAGTGTGTATAGAATGTTAGGAAGTGCTTGTAGAGTGTAAAATATGGACAAGACCTGGTTCCAGCCACCAAAGCACTCACAAACAGCATAATCTGTAGAAGGTGCTTAGTTTCTCTGAAATATCACTGGGCAGTCAATGAAACGGAGAACAATTTGGGCCTTCTGGTTCAACTGGGGCTTTGTGGGACCTGGCAAAAAGAATCCATGAATACTGCTTAAGCTGCCGGCAATTCTTTGTAAACTTGTTGATTTCATCTTGTAACTAAGTTACATTCAGGTTTCATTTATTGCAAGTAATTGCTTGTAAAAATGCTTTCCCCCAAATACCAAGGTTAATTGATCTCTGGTACTTTTCTCCTAAAAAATTATCATTGCCTGCACTTAGAAATATGTGTTACTAGAGATGAAGCCCATCTGGTTGAAACTCAAAGCTGCTATGTTCTGGTTAATCTGAGTATCATCCTTTATGTCAATTTAAGGAGGATGGCATTCTAGAATGACAAAATGTCACAGATTAGATTTATTTAGCCCACCCCCCCAGTTTATATACAGGGAAATGGGCTCAGAAAAAGGAAGTGACATGCATGAAGTGGCTGAATTTTGTAAGTTGCCGAGCTGGAATGTGGATCTAGGTTCCCATTTCAAATTCTCCCAGATGTGCCCCAGCCACCTGAGGGGAGCCCCCTGCCATGGTGAGCAACACCAAAGAGAACCCAGACAGGATTTCTCTGGTACCAGAATAAAGGTGACACCCTGACCCTCTGTCACCCCCTTCCCCATGGTATCTGGCAGACCCCACTCTTCCTTTCTCATGGTGGATATTTTGATATTTTCTGTCCCCTGGTGGGTGGACACTGTTTGGTACCAGCGAGTTCCCAGGATCATATGATTTTGTACACTGGAGATGAAAATCATGAATGAACCCAGTTTTCATACAGGGCCCTGTGGAAATGGATGTGTGTATATAGCTAAGCCAGTTTTGGGTTGGACTCTGTGTTCTGGTCTGAGGGTCACCACCTGCTGAGCACCTATACAGTTGATTCTTGAACAGCACAGGGTTTGGAGATGCTGACAACCCACTCCCCAGTTATAGTTGAAAATCCAACTATAACTTTTGACTCTCCCGAAATTTAACAACTAACAGCCTACTGTTGACTGGACATCTTACTGATAACACAACTAGTTCAATTTTTCATCTCATGGCACACATAAACTAATTACTAAACTTCTGCAGCACACCAAAAATATATATTTTTTGCTGATCTGAAAAAAATAAATACAAATTTTTTGATTCATTTACACTGGACAGCTTTTGTGGTGGTAGCTGTTGTCATTTTTTATTTGAAAAATGGAAAAAGAGGTTCATGCCTCTGACTAAACAGTCAGGTATTGCATGTTTCAAAAATTCTTGCAGCACACCAGTTGAAAAATCACTTGACTGACACATATTTTGTATGTTATATGTATAATGTTCTGTGTTTTTACAATAAAGTAAGTGAGAGAAAAGAAAATGTTGAAAATCATGAGAAAGAGAAAATACGTTTACAATACTTATTTTAAAAGTCCATCTATAAGTGGACCCACACAGTTCGAACCTGTGTTGTTCAAGAGTCCACTCTGCATGCCAGGCTCTCTGCTGAGCTTCTTAGTCGGGAGTACTGTGTGCGGTGTCACCAAGGCTCTGACCCAGACAGCCTGGATTTGATTCCGGTCTCCTCCATGGGGATTAGAGCCTGGCTTTCTCATATGTCAAATGGGGACAACAATAGTGTCTACGTCACATGGTTGTCGTTCCAAGGATTAAATGAGATAGTTTATGCACAATGTTTTACGTGACGTTGGCACATAGTAAGCACTCAACATGTGTGAGTTAAAAAAAATGAAACAAGTGCCACCTTCACTTTTCAGATAAAACATTAAGGCCCTAAAAGAGAAAGCAAATCGCAGGTAGCAAGGCCACCAGTCTGTCTGGTCACCAAGTCCCTGCCCCTCACCATTTTCCTGCACATACTTGTGAGGTTGCCTTGCGTGTACTCAGCTTTCTCCCACATGGTCTTATCCACAGGGGTATGGAATCTGTGTCAGACTTTGTGGAAGATGACCAGTCCTGTTAACACTGTCCCCTGCTGTCAAGGGTAGGAGACAGTGCAAGCTGACTGCTGTTCCTCTCCTCACCATCCATCCATCCATTACCTACCTCTTCTTCAAATAAAATTCCCTCTCGGTGGCCCCTCTATGAATATTCTTCTGGGTTGAATCCCTTTTTCCCCTGGAATATCACATATTCTGACAATTCATCATGCTTTGTTGTGGCATTTCTTCTGCTTTTTTATCTTTTCACACATTAATGTCTTGATTTCCTAAGTAAAATACAAGCTCTTGAACGGTAGTGTTCAGACGATGTTCTCTCCTTCTTCGGTCTATCAGAGTATTTCACACAGGGTCATGTATATAGATTGCTCAATAAATATTTGATCAATTGAAATGCAGGCATTTATCTGATTATCCCCATGTTCCATTGACATGGTGAGATACAATGTAGATGTAAATAAATTTTTGTACAGATAAATTTGGTATTGTGCTAACTGAAGCCGTGCAGAATTTCTGAGCTTGTTTTAATACTCTTAAGTTATTATTTTCTTCCTGATTGGAAAAAAGATACATGTTAATTGCACAAAATTTTGACAATAACAGATAGTATAGAGAATCAAATAAGACATCATCCACAATCCCAATACCCAGTTTTGTTAACATTTAGGCAAATTTTCTTCCATTCCTTTCTTCTGAACAAAGTACATTTAAATAAAATCCCCAATTTTCATAAATTTATATTCATGAATAAATCTATATTTTATATGCAAAATTATTGTCAATGAACTATTCTAAGATTTGGCGAATTGAATCAGGTTCTTATTAAAATAACATATTAGACAAAATGTTTAATGACCCAGAGTTTTAGTTCTTTACAAATTTTATTTTTTATATTTTAATTGTTGTTCAAGTAAAATTTTATTCTTTTTATGTTTACTTTTTACAGAGTTGTGATCATACAGTTTGTAGCAAAATATAACTGTATTGTATGTTTTCACAGAAAAAACTCTTCCCCAGATTAATTCTTCCCAAACATAATTTTAAATGCGTATGTAACATTTCATTCCCAACCTTCACCCTAATTTATTTAATTGTTGGTTTTCCATTAGATCGTTGCGCATTTTCCGCTTTTTCGGCTGACAGTGGGTATAGCTGACTTGCACTACCAGCTTTGCTTCCTTTCCAGATTGTTTGTGATTTGTCTGTTCCATGCTATTTATCCATTTATCATTTTCTTTGTTAAAAAATATAAAATCTTTGCACATATTTTTCCCTTTTTTTTTCTGTTTGCCTTTAAATCCTATTTTAACATATCAAGTTTTAATGTTTTAGAGCCCAGTCTATTTTGCTTGTGTTGCTTTGTGATTTCTTCCATTGCGTATAAGCTCAGAAAGTTTTCTCCCATCTGGGGATTTAATAAATATTATTGAATGTGCGAATAGCCAATCCTATTTCCTCCTAATTTTTAATACCTTAATTTAAAAATACTTACTTCCTTAATCACTTTGGAATGTATTTTATTATAGCATATCTGGAACTAAGCTATTTTCTCTTTCCTTACAGGTAGTTAATTCATTATCCTATGTGCAAGATTTTTTTTAAATTAATTTTTAATTTTTTTATTGTTGTTCAAGTACAATTGTCTCCATTCTCACTCCACTACCCCCTGCCTCCATCCCACCCATCTCTGCTTCCCACCCTTGAACCCACTCCCCACTTTGGCTTTGTTCATGTGTCCTTCAAACATGTTCCTTGATGACATCCCCCTGTAATCCCCTATTATCCTTCTCCCCCCTCCTCTCTGGTTACTGTCAGTTTGTTCTTTATTTCAATGACTCCGGTTGTATTTTGCTTGCTTGTTTGTTTTGTTGATTGGGTTCCACTTATAGGTGAGATCATATGGTATTTCTCTTTTACCACTTGGCTTGTTGCACTTAGCATAATGCTGTCCAGATCCATCCATGCTGTTGCAAAGGGTAGGAGCTCCTTCTTTCTGCTGTGTAGTATTCCACTGCATAAATGTACCACAGTTTTTTTGATCCATTCATTTACTGATGGGCACTTAGGCTGTTTCCAGCACTTGGCTATTGTGAATGGTGCTGCTATGAATATTGGGGTGCCCATGCACCA